GGCACATCATCATCATCATCATCATCATCATCATCATCATCATCATCATCATCATCATCAAGTTATTTGGACGTGTGGAGGTGCCTCTCAGCATAATGACAATGGAGCCGAAAAAGAGCCTCGCTCTCGCTCGAAGATTTCTTCGTGGAGTCCACCAGGCCCATTAAGGAAACAAACATCATCATCATCATCATCATCATCATCATCATCATCATCATCATCATCATCATCATCATCATCATCATCATCATCAACAACATCATCATCATCATCATCATCATCATCATCACTAAAAAGAAAAACAAGAATCAGAAAATGACCACTAGCAAGGTCTACGAGGCCTCGTTTATGTTTTAGGCTACGATACACTCAGAAGGTCTGAGTTCCATTCCCGTCTGAGAAAGTAATTGTTTAAAATACCTCCTATCAGATCATATGATTTATTCAACTCTGTAGGAGTTGGCCCAGCCAGGCAAGATTGAAGCAGTCCAACTCTTAAATGACGTAAGTTGTATCGACGAGTCGTCAGATGTTAACAGACAACAGAGAGGTGGCTGGAGGGCGCCACGGATGAGTCCAAGTTGTGTTCTTTTCCTCTATTGTTTCTGTCCGCCTGTCTCACACTTCCTCTGCGTGTCAGGTGATCATTATCGTGTCGATAATCTTCTATTTACTCACACTACACTCAAACAGGAAATTAAAACTTTTATTCTCCACTTCTGGCGTCAAACGTGCTCCCTCTAGAAAACTATTTAAAAAAAAAAAATTTAATCACTACCCCAGAATTGCAAAGTTCTATCTGCTCAGTACCCAGTATTTAGAAATTTGACGTCAATGGTTTTGAGTTTCACACCATTTCAAACTTTTTAAATGCAGTTCTTTGATTATCTTGATAACGACTCCGAATAACCTTACGATTTTGATGAAGCAGATAGAACATTTGGTTTCTGACCTCATGGTCTTAGTAACTCAAAATATGTCAGATAGAACTTTGTTATTCTAAGGTAGCGAACTATCACAGCGCTGACACTAGAGCCATTCAGTGCACTCACGCTGAGATCTGGCCTTGAACCAGAACACGCTAAGCTGCTATACATTATACATTATCTTGGGACGGGATACCTAAAACGACTTGCTTTCTCCACTCCCCTGACAAATGAAAGTGCGTTTCAAATGGCCGGTGCGAGGAAATGAAAATATATTTTCCCCATCTCAATCCGATTAAATCGCGTAAAAATCAACTTGAGTTAATGGAGTATCTTCGCGGGAGTGAGGAAATAAATAAGTGTCTGAAAACGTAATGACGATAAAAACGCCATTATTTTCAACGCTCTGAGGCTTTCGGAAACTGGGCACCCTCCTCGAGGATAGATAGATAGATAGATAGATAGATAGATAGATAGATAGATAGATAGATAGATAGATAGATAGATAGATAGATGGATGGATAGAGAGATAGATGGATAGAGATAACAAATCATCAGGAAGTGAGACGTGTAAATCAAAACTCATATAAAGAATTGACACTAACACTATAACACTTACACTGGCACTAACAATACAACTCACATTGCCATTCACTTTGGCACAAACACCGGCAAAGTTCTGATTCTAACACTGACTCTGACACTGACTCTGATACTGATACTGATACTGAAACTGACACTGATACTGGTACTGATACTAATACTGATACTGATACTGATACTGACACTGACACTTACACTGACATTGACACTGACACTGACACTGATACTGATACTGACACTGACACTGACACTGATACTGGTACTGATACTAATACTGATACTGACACTGACATTGACACTGACACTGACACTGACACTGACACTGATACTGATACTGACACTGACACTGATACTGGTACTGATACTAATACTGATACTGACACTTACACTGACACTGACACAAACATTGACACTGACACTGACACAGACACAGACTCTGGCAGTGCTACTGACATTAACATTCCCATTGACACCAACATCGGCTCAAGCACTGACACAAATACTGACACAGACACCGACACTGGCGCGGGCACTGACACTGACGCTGACACGGACAATACCACTGCCAAAGACATTTACTCTGATATGTTACCGAAACTACCGACATCGACACTACTGACTCTAACACATACGTCATTAGCCGCAGCCGGGCTGTTGCTGTTGTCTGTCCGGTTAGGCGAGTTCTGTATGGACATGTTGACGTCACGACTGGTGACCTTTGACCCCGTGTCCTGCTCCCGGTCCGTGAGTCCGCCGGCGATGGTTCCTGTCTGGGTGTTGGGGCTATCCACGCCGTTCTGAGGCATCTTCCCGTTAGAAATGACCTGGGGAGGCGGAGGAAGAGAATGTGCCGTGATCTTGGTGATAATACTAGGAGATGGAGAACAATACTGTGCCTGCTATCTTGGTGATAGTGATAGTCCTGGGAGCTAGAGAACAATAAAGTGGCAACGATCTTGGTGATGATGTCTAAGGAAAGACGCCAACAAAATCAGACGGGGGCATGGTTAGAAACAACAAGATCAGAGAAATGGTGCGAACAACACCTGTCCTCCACTACATTCGAAGGCAAACGATGAAATGGTTTGGACATCTCACACGTATGGCACCTAACCAGCTTGCCAGTTAAGCCTACTACAGGAAAATATCAGGGTACAAGGCAAGAGGAAGACCAAGAAAGGCATGGAACTAGGGTGTGAAGGATACTCTGAGAACATACAATATCCCACCCAGCCAGGCCATCAAACTTGCAAGAGACAGGGAGCTCTTTCTCCCCTCGACGCCCTGGAGGTACAAGAGGACGGATAAAGTAAAGTAAAGTAGATCTTGGGGATAGTCCTAGGAGATAGAGAACAATACTATGGAAAAGATCTCCGTTGAAATCCTAAGAGAAAGAGAACAATAATGTGGTGATAGTCCTAGGAGATAGAAAACAATAATATGCCTGCTATCTTGGTGATGGTCCTAGGAGATAGAAAACAATAATATGCCTGCTATCTTGGTGATGGTCCTAGGAGACAGAGAACAATAACGTGGCAACGATCTTGGTGATAGTGTTAGACAGTGTTTGTATCCGGAATAAGGCTTATTTAAAATCTTATAAACATAATTCCTTTATTTATATTGTTTTTTCTACGCCCCCATTCATAAAATTCTGATAATTTAACAGGCATGCTTCCAACCCTGCATGTCAGGGCCAACCCGGGATGAAAGGGACACAGTATCCCAGCAGGAAGACAGAGATACTGGATAAATATTTATGCCTTCTCGAGAATCGAACTCAGGTCTCTTGCGTGCGACTCCAAAGCGCCTAAAACCAGTTTAAAAAGAATGCTTGTCTAAAGTCATATTACAGCATTATTAATTCCAGAAGAGTGTTACTTTCTTTACAAACCCTCCCTTCAAAAAGAGTGTTTGTCTTATACCACTCCCAAAACTATGCTTTTATTTACCATATTATTTAGCACTTATGAAGATTCCCGATTATAAAAAGAAAATCACAAACTAGGGACTCGAACTCACGACGTCTGCGTGCAACCACGACGAGCCCAACCGTTAAACCATAAACGTTAATAAATGTAGGATAGGACCCATGAAAATTGAAACGAAATTATACAAAAACTCAAACAAAACAAAGGTGTACTTTCAAACAACAGTTCTCCAAGTTGAAAGTCAGAGCAACTTTGACGTCACCATCTGAGGTAATCGGTTACAGTATCGAATACAGTTAGACAATGAAGGTCGTATTTTATCTCGATTATTGGTAACTAGATCTCAGTTGAAATGGTATGAATGATTTTTTTTTTCCTGTTCGTTCTCGCTTTTAAAAAAAACCCAACAAAAACCAAACGATTCCTTGTAACAGATGTCTGATAATATTCTAAAATTCAGTGGGTGTTTGGTGTCGGCAATAAAGTAGTTTATTGTTTTCACAATATTGATGGTGTAAAGTTCAGTGAAAGAGAGGAGTGAACTATATACAAATTGTGTTGCTTTCTGTATAACTCTGCCCAATATATGTAATTGATCTTGTTTAGAGATGTCATTGTAGCTTGTTTACTTACGTTCTGTCGACGTTAAAAATTTCATTTATTGATTTATCAAAGTGGATGAAACTGTGCAGTTTATTCCTGTAGACCAGAGACCGAACAAACAATTTTTTTTTCAAGAAATCTTGATCAAGTAATAAAAATATTTCTCTATTTGGGACCTAGATTAAACATTGTCCTTTGGGTGCATGCACATGATCAATTATGATTTACAGTAACGTAACCAAAAATAGCTCGTTTTGAGACAGCGACAGCACCCTGCCCCCTCATTTCTGTGCAAGCTTGTCGATTTTATCCTAAGGCTGGTCAAAACATCTCCACGTGAGCCTCGAAAAGTACTCACCCGTCTATTGCACCATGTTCCACAGGCATGTGTTAACGTTTGGTGCTGATCAACGTTTTTATGCTTGAGGTATGATCTGTAAATCTCCTTCTATTTTTTAAAATCCGCTTTACGCTAGAAGCAAGGAAGACGTGTCAGAACCTTTGTTTGCAGTGACCTTCATCAACAGACTGACATGAAGATTTTGTTGGTCTTCCACATCCGCATACAAAAACCAGCGAAGATTAAAGAAGCGATTTGCTATTTCATATATTTTGTTTTAATCGCTGTTAGACGAAAGTGAACAAGTTATACCGCCGTAACACAAAATACTGAAACTGAAAGTAGTTACAGCTTTCGAATGCTGCCTTGTAGAAAGTTTTAATTATACTTTTATCTATTTCAAATGACTTTTTTTAAAATATAGTCTCGGATAAATTCTTTAAAATAAAGTTTTCCGCTTGTTCATGCTAGGATAGCTTGTTGTCAAATGGTCATCCCTTAGGGTCTACATCCTGGCTGACTTCAACAGTTTCAGCCATACAGATATTCCAAATATTTCCAGATGGTGATCTCTCTAACTCAACACACCAACACCTATACTACACTGTACAGACAGAAACATAGATAATTCTGACATTCTGGGTAGAAAATAGTCATCCTCTTTATTCTTTCTCTTTAAAAAATAACACCAAAAAAACAAGAACTTTTCACTGAAATTTAAGACGGCCTCGTCTCCATTGCGACTGTACTCTTGCTTCCTGACCTCTGTAAAGATCTTCTCTGCAAGTCGCAATTAACGCGAATAAGAGAGGCGTACAAGAACAAAAACCTCAACGACCCGGGGTCGAACTAAAATATCAACCATTTGTTGTTTTATCCTAGCGGGTGACGTGTAACTCATCCTTTTCCATCAAAGCTACCAGGAACGAAACCTGAAGCCCTGTAGTAATAACATGCTGTTTTATTGAGTCGCGTACGGCAAAGTAGCGCGCCGTTTCTACATGGAGGGAAAAAAGGGGAAATCAGGGAAACAGGGAAAATGGGAAAAAGGGAAAAGGGGAAAAGGGAGAAAAGGGGAAAAGGGGAAAAAAGGGGGGGGGTGGGGGGTGGATCGGCTGGGTATAAAGGGCTTTCTATTCTGGAAAGTATCACTGTATCCCAATTACTTGTACTTTGAGAATTGTTGTTGGGGGGATAAAGATCCATCATGAAAAGTCTCTCGTTACAATACAAAGCATAATACTGAAACGCAGCTTACTTAACGTTTTGGTAACCTAACGGCTCCCAGAACGAATAATATTAACATATTCTGAAAACATTAAATACAAAAGCGCAAATTTGACGATTTGAGGTCGTGTAATTTATGATGATAGGCTATGTTTTGTTATAACGCAGTGAGCAAAAGGCGCACAGCATAGTGCGCGAGGTAATATCTTCTTGTTTGGATAATTTTCCTAAAGCACAGAAACAGTTGACTAAAGAGTTAATAGTATCACATATATTGAAAAGAGAAATTAAAATAACAATAATATTTATTTGGGTTAGGAAAGA